TGCTTCCAATGTAGCGAGGAGATTAGTCACCGTTATCGACAGTAAATACTCTAGGAACGAAAAATATATAAATTTATATTCATATATATATATATATATATATATAATATTTGTCCAAAAAAATCCATTCTTTCGATATTATATTTGCTAAGAAAGAAAAATAAATAAAAGAGAAAAAAAGATAATAACTTCACAGTTTAATAGAAAAGAAATTGGCAAAATTTTAATGAGACCTACGCTCTTTATTTAGTAAAGAAGTAAAAATGAAAGAAGAGGAGAGAGTAAAAATATAGAAATTAAAAAAAAAATAATAGGGACATTCTCTCTAACACTTTCTTTATTTTTGTCAAAAAAAATTGTAAATTTTGTGTGTGATTTAATGAGTTTCTTGATTTAGTAGTAAGGCTGGACAAAATTTATAATTTTTAACCAATATTAAAGAGAATATGAAAAAGGAGAGAGCTAGAGAATTTTGTTAGCATTATATTTTTCATAAAAAAAAAATTGATGCCATATGATAAGAGAAAAATGTGAGAAATTGTGTGTAAATATTAAGGGTCTCACAATGTAAAACTTTCCCTTTTAACTAAAGAAAAAATGCAATAAAACAAATCTTACAACATAAATTTAAGCTAGAAAATCAACTTATGCAATGAGTATCGTCTTGACTTTCATTTATGCATTTTATCTTGACATTATATATCTTTAACTTCTCACAAGCTTATATTATTAAGCATGGTATACAAATATATGATAAGTGAAGATAAATAAATCTAACATCTTCTTAAAACATGAATTTAGATTTAGTGTTATTTAAAAGTAGTGTTAAAAAAATCATTAGTTCAACTGAAAATTGTGTGTAAAGAAGAGTGTGTGCATGTTAGGACTACTCGAAAGTTATATCACTCGAAAACTATGCTTTCGAAGATACGCGAAAAGAAAGACAAGAAAATATGTATCTACCAAGAAAGTATTGGAAGTACAAAATGTAGGTATTCAAATGTTGGTCGAAAAATGTAAGAGATGAGGTGTTTTGAGTAGTTAAGCAGTTACACTAAGGTAGTTACAAAAAACTTTGGTCGAAGAAATAAAAGAACGTGGAGGGGACAGTTATGGAAGTTACATGGGTTCCACGACATCAGCGTAGTGGGTAGCGATTGCACAACCACGACACGTTTACACAGGAGTAACCGCTCTCGAGTAGAGTCTATAAAAATAGGAATCATAACCCCTCAAAAGAGGTCAGAAATTTCATACTTGCACTCCTGAAAGCACTCTCTACCTACGCATATGGCTTCCATGCATGCGATTGTTGGGTACTAATTTCTTGACTATATTTCCTTGCTTTTCTTAAGATTAGTGTAATTAGTTTCGTAATTAATTTTCAATTCGTAGTTAGTTTAATCCTCATTTATAATTGGATCTTTATGTGAAATGAACTATGATCTGTATTGCCAATGTATTGATTGTTCATTCTGTTCGTTTGAGTATTTGCGTGCATGAACATTATTGCTTAATATTCATTAATGAAAATCAATTCTCATTCAAAAAGAGGTATAATTGAGACTTAACAGTATCTCAACCACATGCCTTATAACTTAACAAGGTAACAACTATAATCAACTCAACACATGCAACTTTACAACTCAATCATCTATCAACTTTTTCATCATCATTCAATTAACAAAGCAATTTACATGACAACTTTTCAACATGCAACTCATGCCCAACGTTGCTCACTAGGCACTCGACGCCATTAAGACAAAGAGCTCTTTGTGTCGCTCATGCCTAGTGCAAAACCACTCGAGCTCGGTGTGAATGAGGTAGAGAGTATCCCACACTCTCACATCTAGCGTGACAACACCCACATTCAACCCTAATCAAGTAAAGGGCTCTCTGCCTGACTCACACCCAACACAACACACACTAGCGCCTAACGAAAACCCAAGTAGAGATGAGTTTCTCCTTATGTCTGATGTCGTTCAACCCATGCTCGGTGTGATTTCAACCCGAGATGATTCTCTCTCCTCACACTAGACACCACCAATCCTACGCCTAGTGTGAGTGAGACAAAGACCCCTTTTTAAAGTCACGCTCGACACCTTGAAGGTGCAACTAATTCGATATTAGATTTTGCACTTGTGTTGAACCCAATTTCAACCATTCCACCTGAAATTTAGCAAGAACCAAATGTACAATCCAATATATATATAATACATACCACGTAGTAATCACCAAAACAGCCTAAAACAACACATGCAACCATCCCAACATCTAGATTCAACCAATCAACCCACGAATACCATTTAATGTTACTCCTTCATAACAAATTTAAATTCATAATCTTCACCAGTTCAAACATGAAATTGATGAATTAAAACCCTAAAAACAAGCATTCAACATCAATTATTTTAAACCACAAAACTTCCCTTATCTCTTAAAGAACCAATCTATAAGATAAAGAAGAGAAGGAAACTTCGTATGAATCCGAGGTGGGATTCTAGCTCCACAAGCTTTGATCTCCACAAGCTTGGATCAACTACAAGAAGGAAATGGAGGAGAGTTCTCAGAAAGAAGAAGAGGACGGATTCTTGGGTTCTTCAAAGAAAACTCTCACTAGCCTCTCTCTAGGTTTTCTAAAACTGAAACTTATGAGGTTCTAGTTTTAAGAAAACCTTAAGTACTCTTCCCAAGCTGACCCAACTTAACTCAACTCAACACTCCGAAAACATTCACAGAATTGAAATAAACAACTCAAAACAATAATGTTACACTTATTCTACCATTTTAGTAGCAAAAAAATATCTCATTTTAGTTGCACATTAATTGTTATCATATTGCCCAAGATAATATTAATTATTATCAATTACTTATATAATATAATTAGTATTTTATCAACTAATGGGGTCTAAATTTATTGAGCAAAATGCATAAAATTTATATATCATTTCATACTAAATTTCATTCTCATTCAGATAAAAAAAAGTCTATATTTATTCCATTTGAATTTATAAAAATTGACAAACACAACTTTTTCAAAACATAAATGCCATTGTTGGCCAATTTCTACATCAAGTTCAACATATATATTTAGTGTTACCTAAAAGTCGGTTTCCATTTTGACAAGCTAATAAAAAATGGTGTGTATTTCAAAAGCCAAACCTATCCACACCAGACACACAGTCACCATTTATGTTATTTTACCTGCATATTCAGACAGATGTTGTCTCACTTAAAATAAAAGCCAAGGCTCGGAAAATGACAGCTTTCTTTGCTGAGTTGACGCTGACTCTCAATTTAATTATATCTAAAACACTTTAAAGAACATATAATCCAAAATAACAATCATATTAAGCTAAAATACTTTCCATTACATTGATTCCAGTAACACTTGAATTTAAAAAGCAAAAGAAAAAAGATATCTGATACATGTAAATTATAAAGATATCATCACATGTCAATGCCATACACTGCACAACTAATTATGTAAACCAAGCGTACAAGCCAATAAATGCGATTGCATAGTAGATAACAAATTTTAAGGGAAAGGGACAATAGGAGAAGATAGCAACATACAAGTGAATGTGCGTAATGATGAGATACAAAATGGGTACTGTGTTAAGTCCCCATCCGTTGAAAACACTAAACATGTGAAGGAAATCAAACAAAAGAGCAATAACCACGTTTCTGTTTATAACCCACAAACACAGCACAACACACCGCACTATTTCTGCTTACTTAATAACACTCGCTCCTCTTCATTCAAATTCAAACAAACAAGGCACATGAAACAACTTGTGTCAGTGTCATATTTACCTGCACTTGTCACAAATGGCCAAAACCAAAACATTTGTGCTTTTACCTCTCTCTGTTTTGATCCTTGCTCTGGCTACAAACCCTGTTAAATCTGAGCAACAAGAGCTATTCTTCAACGGGTTTGGTGACGGTTCCGCAAACATAACCTTAAACGGAGGAGCAGTGATTGAACACAAGGGCTTACTCCGGTTGACAAACGAGACTCGGAGAGTAATCGGGCACGCGTTTTATCCAACCCCAATTCAGTTCAAGCCCAAAAACTCCTCCGAAGCTTTCTCCTTCTCCACCGCTTTCGCGTTTGCGATCGTCCCTCAGTACCCGAAACTCGGTGGCCACGGCTTCGCCTTCACCATTTCGCGCTCCACATCGCTCGCGGACGCGTACCCCAGCCAGTACCTGGGCCTCCTCAACCCAAGCGATGTGGGGAACTTCTCAAACCACCTTTTCGCAGTGGAATTCGACACCGTCCAAGACTTCGAGTTCGGGGACATCAACGACAACCACGTCGGCATCAACCTCAACAACATGGTCTCCAACAAATCCGTGGAAGCGGCGTTTTACCCCAACAACGGCTCCACCAACAAGCAAAGCCTCAATTTGAAGAGTGGTGAAGTAACTCAAGCATGGGTCGATTACGATTCATCAAAACACCAATTGGAAGTTAGACTCTCCCCAACTTCCTCCAAACCCACTTCACCAATCTTGTCATACAAAGTAGACCTCTCACCGATTCTCCAAGATTCCATGTACGTGGGGTTCTCTTCTTCAACAGGGTTACTCGCTAGCTCCCACTATATCTTAGGTTGGAGCTTCAAAATAAACGGAGAGGCCAAGAGTCTCTCCTTAAAAAACCTCCCTTCACTAAATTCATCAAGCAAAACTCAAAAGCCCTTAATCTTAGGACTCACACTTTCTCTCTCCGCTTTGGTTCTAACACTCGCTGCGTTGTACCTCTTCAGAAAGATGAGAAACTCGGAAGTGATCGAAGCTTGGGAAATGGATATTGGTCCACACAGATTCCCATACAAAGAGCTAGACAAAGCGACGAAAGGGTTCAAGGACAAGAACCTGCTCGGGTTCGGTGGGTTCGGGCGTGTGTACAAAGGGGTGCTCCCGAAGTCCCACATCGAAGTCGCGGTGAAGCGAGTATCGCACGAGTCGACACAAGGCATGCAAGAGTTCGTGTCGGAGATTTCAACCATAGGAAGGCTTCGACATAGGAACCTAGTACAGTTACTGGGTTGGTGTCGGAAGCAAAACGAACTTTTACTAGTGTACGATTTCATGCGAAACGGAAGCTTAGACAAGTACCTATTCGATGAACCGAGGGTGATTTTAACGTGGGAGCAGAGGTTTAGGATAATAAAAGGCGTGGCTTGGGGGTTGGTTTACTTGCACGAGGAGTGGGAGCAAACGGTGATTCACAGAGACGTTAAAGCAGGGAACGTATTGTTGGACGGAGAAATGAACGGAAGGTTGGGGGATTTTGGGTTGGCGAAGCTTTACGAGCACGGTTCCAACCCTAGCACGACCAGGGTGGTGGGGACGTTGGGTTACCTTGCGCCGGAGCTCACGCGGACGGGGAAGCCCACGGCGAGTTCCGACGTGTTTGCGTTCGGGGCGCTCATGCTGGAGGTGGCGTGCGGGCGGAGGCCGATTGAGGCCAAGGCGTTGCCGGAGGAGCTCGTGCTGGTGGAGTGGGTGTGGGAGCGGTGGCGCGTGGGGGCGGCGCTGGCGGTGGTGGATTCGCGCCTGGGAGGGGTGTTTGATGAGGTGGAGGCTCTGCTGGTGCTAAGGCTGGGGTTGCTGTGTTCCGTGGAGGCGCCGGAGAAGAGGCCGAGCATGCGGCAGGTGGTGAGGTACCTGGAGGGGGAGGTGGCGCCGCCTCCGGTGGTGGTGGAGGGGAAGAGAGGCGGTGGGGAATTGGCGCATTCGTATTCCTTTTGCGACAGGGCGAATACGTGGTCGTCGGCGGGTGATGACGTGTCCTCTTTATCGCTTTCCGGTGGCCGGTAGGGTAGTTAGGGGGACACATACATACAAAAAGTGTCATTCAAATGTTGCACTATATTAGATTAGATTAGATTCTCTTCTCTTTACCTGTCCCTACCCAATTTTTCTCTGGTAATTTTTTCTTTTGGTGGGGATTGTATCCCCTAATATATTGTTGAATTATTAGGTTTTGATTTTTCAATGTTTAATTAAATTTATTTGTTTAATTAAAAGTAATTAAAGTCTTTAATTTTCTTATATGTAATCTCTATTTCACCTATACAGAGATATTTTTAACTGTCAAATATATTATTATTAAAATAAATAAATTACTGAGATTAAATGTATTTATATTAAAAAAAAAAGTTCACAATTAATAGTTTGATTCACGATGGTTACAAAACACGCACTACATAAACTCTTTAATAACGTCCACGTTAATCCCACTCCTAAAGAAGCGGAAAATCAGGACACATGAGCTTGTAGATTTGGGATCATCTATTACAGTAATTCATTAGACAAATCCCGGGCAAAAATGAAAAGTTGAAGGTTCGATTAGCCCCTTCCCTTCCTTCCTTTTCATTTATTTTCAGTTTGCAAGAGCTGTACACACTACTAGTAGTGCAAGATATGCAGCATGACTATTAACTATAGAACACGTAACTGTACAAGAGCATTGCAATAATGCCGGTTCATATATCTAACAATAAATAGAATGCCCCCTCTTTTCCACCTCATCAGTTTCCCTCCATTTATTTCCAAGATCAACTTCTGCCAACAAGCACTTGGGAAACAATTGAAACATGTGGATATTACACTTTTTCCTGCATTAGGCAATAATGTAGAAAGCTATCAGCACAGATTCCACGAACAAAAGCATGATTCTACTGATCATTCGCTAAGGTTCACCAACTTGTCTCCAGTGTTTTCATCCTCACTATCTTTCCCATCACTGAAAATCTCATCATCATCAAACCCTATAATCAGCGGAAAACATGTTAGTTAATAACATTTTCTACCGCACAGTTTCCATATCCTTTATAAGTACATGCAGTTTACCTTCACCCAGTTCTTCAGTTTCATCATTTAAAGGCCTTAAAAGCATTGTGTTAACAGAAGATGGATCCAGTGCCATCCAATCTGAGTTCCCGTACTCGTCTAAATATAAATCCCTTGGTCTGATCCATTCATCAACGCTGCTAATGCTGTCAAATGATAGGGGATCACTAGAATCTGGTTCTTTACTCATAAACCTGAAAGAAAGAAAAACCAAACAATACATTATAATTCCCTTCAACTGGCAACTGCATTAAAACAATTTAAATATACAACAATTCAAGCTCACATTTGTCTTAATCGCAAGTTGCAGTGAACAAAAACAAGATCAGTAAGATGTTGGCGCTCTATATAATTCCTTGTGTTGACTGTTTGCTCAAAAGGAATCTGGTTTCTCTTGCAGGACATCATACTAGATGTTTGGCTGAGAATACGAATTGCTAACCGCGATAAATTAGGGCAACCTCCTCCATATGTTGACCACCATTCAGCTGAAAAAAAATAATATGCAAGTGACGAGGCAGTTTAAAAAGAAGTCATGAGAGAAAGTAAGAAGGGAAAAACTCAAATGGATGTCTTGTGTGATACAAATTTAAATTCTCATGCACAAAAGTCACACATAGAACCCAACTGTTGTTTGTGTAAATCCAGACAGGTTATAACCCATCGGTGCAGGATTTGAAAAGAACTATGCTGACAGTGATTAAAGTTATTTGTGCAGAGCATTCAAAGAAAATTTCAACTTCAACTTCTATAGCATTGTTCATCATGTCAAAGCGTAAAGCCTTGACACAAGTGAATTTTTGTCCTCTTTCAGCTTATCAGTTTTGACATCAACACTCCCATACTATAACTATTTTTATACGTACTATGTATTGATTCTAATTTATTTTTTCAATGAAGTTACTTAATATTGGGAAGTTAAATCACAAAATAGCAATTGAATATACTAATGTTATCTAGGAGAATGGGTCATTGGCCTCTTACAAGGAAGCAAATTATCTCTAGCTCTGACTGCCATCTTTCTCCCAAAGTCTCCTGCAGCAGACTTGTATAAATTTATCTCTTTGATAATTTTATCTTGGACTCTTGTATCAGGTATCAATCTCTCTATGCAGTCAAACATCCCTGAGACAATCTGACCATGTATATCTCCTTGAATACTATAGAAGAACTTTGGATTAAGGTAGAATCCAGCAGAATGAAGAGGATGATGCCACAGCCTTTCCCATCTATGATGTATAATATTCCAGTACACCATATATTCCTCCCTCTTACCAAGAGCTTTTTTAATTGCTTCTTTTGCCCGGTACATTCCAGCATAAACGTATCCCATTGCAGGTCTCATCTCACTACCAGCTATTCTCAGAATCTTTAAGAGAGGAACCGTTAGACGAACAATCATGTCACACGAGGACCAAAATGTTTGATTGCTTAGGCAATCCAACATTTCAAGACCTGCTGTTTTCTTTGAGTATGGGCTATCCGCCCACTCCTGAGAAGTGACCAACGCCTGTAAATTGTGTTTAAGATCAACCATCCGCTTCAATGAGGTAAAGTTTGTAGCAAAGCGTGAGAAAGAAGGATCCACAATATCATTCCCTAAGGTATACCTTTTAACCATATTCAAAATTGCACCGTAATTGTACACAAATCTTGTTATAGATTTAGCTTGTTCGATCACTGCACTAATCCACTCAAGATTTCCGAAATCTTCGAGTATTGAATCAATGCAATAAGCTACAGAAGGGCTCCAATAGAGGGTAGGAAAAGTATCACTCAGCCGTCTACCGGCAATAGCATATTGTTCTTCACCAGACGTGATCACTTGCAGCACTTGCCCAACTCCAACTTCTTCTACTACTTGTTTTATCAAGTCATATAGAAAATCTGCAGAAGCTGAATTCTCAGTAGCATCAAAGGACTTCAAAAAGACTATGCCTTCAGGACAATATGCCAAAAAGCTTATCAGTATTCTACCGGTTTCTGTTGTCCATTGGTCAACCAAAATGGAACAGCCAGTCCTTCCCCAAGTCATCTTGCATCTATCTATATCATTCTTCACTTCCTCCACAGAATTCTTCAGGATCCAACCCCGAAGTTCATGATGCGAGGGCCGTTCAAAACCCACCCCCCTTGAAGCAATTGCATCAACCATTTCATGAAAATAGACTGAGTTCACGGCATCAAAAGGTGCACCAATATCATACAAAAACCGGCCTATTGCCATATGAATGTGGTTGTCCATCTTTTTGGGAAACAATGCACTCTTCTCCAAAGCAACAACACCCTCAGAGTTTGCATAAACTGCTGCAGGATTCTTGCTGGCTCTCATTTTCTTCCTCCTTTCTATACCTCTACTCATTCCTTCACCAGGATTCAGTGCCAGACTAGAACTGTGCTCAATTCCAATAGCCTGGATCCCCTCATTCATATCCACCTGATTGGGAACTGAGTTGACAACAGTGGTCAAAGGGTTAACACTCATAATCTCCTCCTCAATTTTCTGCTTCCTCCTCTTTTTGACCACAACCCCATCCAAACTCTGCTGCATGTGAAGCCTCACATCAGAGGGGACACGGCTACAAGTGGATGCATTCCCTTTCTGACAAGCAAGGTGTTCCTTAATCCTATGAATCCCGCCACCCTTAAACATCTTCAGACAATATATGCACTTTAGCTGCACCTTATCCCCATTCTTAAACATCTGAACATGTTTCCATGCCGGGTCATGCTTTTGGGATGTAATTGGCACTGGTTCCAGATTTGAGCCCATTTTTTCCCTATAATCACACCAACCACTACCACTGCGGAGATTAATAACAATAACATAACAGCCATGTTAGTGTGAGGGCAACAAAAGCAATCACTTTCTCGTGACCCAAATCTGTATTCAGTTTCCACAGAGCCAAATTGTTATGAAGTTTCAGTCTTTGTTCAAAATCAAATCCTTACAGATTCTGGGTCTGGTTTTGAAAGAAAAAAAAAATCGGAAATTGAAGAACAAAAAAGAGAGAGAAGGGAAAAGAAAAGTGCATACCCGGTTTGATGAATCGCTTTTTTTGTTTTTTTAATCGATGGGGGAGAGACGGAATAGGAAGAGAAAACGAACCGAGTCCAAAAGAAGAGAAGAGAACCGTGAAGATGTGACCGGACGGACCGGTTAGGGCATTGAGAGTGGGATCCGGTTGAGTTGGCTTTGCTGTTAATGGATCCGGTTTCAGCGGTAAAAGAGAGCTGGCCGGACCGGTTTGTTTTGCCACCGAATGGGAAAACCGATATTTGTGCCTCTCCTCCGGAGCCAACTTTCATGCTTTTATGTTATTATTATTATTAGTTGTTATTTTTATTCTTGTAATTATCAAATCAAATGTCAAGTAACCCGAAATCATGAAGAAGAAAAAAGATAATCATTTCTTTACCTAGTTGAAAATAAAATAAAAAAATAAAATTCCAATGTATTTATTTTTCCTTTAATTTTAGTTTTAAAATTTCCCTTTCTTTCTCCCATCAAACTAAACAAAGCATGAGTAAGACCATGGTCCTTATACTCCTATGATTAAGAAAACAAAGACTTTTTGTTCTACCACTATAACCACTAGATATAGATAGAAAGGACCGTTTTAGTGTCAACAAGATTTTTTTTTTTCATGACAAGTTATTGGTTAATTAAAATTTATGATCTAATATGTGAATCAATTCACATGTAATTTTTTTAGTTTGATAATAAGTAATTTTAATTTCAAGTTGAATATGTAATTATATTAAATATTTAGAAAGAATTTTATCATTTATAGTAATTTTATCTAATTCAAACAATTAAACAAGATTATTTATAATAGTTTGATACTTGTAATCTTTAATAAAAATTAAATTAGATTATATGGACCTTATTTAGAGGAATCTATTTAAATTTGAACTAGTGAATAGTCACAAATTAAAATCAAAATGTTACGTTAATGAAAATATACTTCAGGAACTATGGCTTTCATGAAAAAAAAATGTTATGATTGTCAAATTGATGGAAAAAGCATTAGTTTCCTCACGATGAGAGTCTAGTTGAAGGCAAGTTGATGGATGTGCTAGACATTAATAATGAAGCTTATTTTATGGTGAATTTCAATTTGGTGGAAGATCGAGAGAAAAATATCAAAGGAAGGCCTAAGATGATATTTGTTTATTATTTCATAGTTCGGCCAAGAACTTCAAACCTTGTGATTTTGAAGGTGAAAAGTAATAACACTCTAGTTAAAATATGATTTTCTTGTCTTGGATGAATGGTATTTTTGGCTATATCATCTATTGTGGGTAGGCCAATCAAGGTAAACAGAAATAATATCATCTTGGATGGAATAGTGCTTTTGAATATGTATAAAGGGTGATTTGCTAAAGTGTGTGTGGGCACTAACTTGAACCAAATGGTGTGGTATGAAGATTATGGTTTCGCAATAACTGGTTCAATGTGAAATATGAAGAGCTACATCTGATGTGCAAGTGTTGTAGTCTCTTTGGTCATATCATTGGAACATGTGCAAAGAGGAAGCATAATGAGGTCATGATATAGCTAAAGGTTGTGATGCTTGAGGGTGAAATAGTAGAGATGACAAAAATATTCGTAATTGCAGGTATCTGTAATAAAATTTATTATGGATAATAAATGGGTAGTCTAAATGGATACTCATGGATAATAAGTACGGGTATTTTTTTACCCATTTATAAATGGGGTGGGGTGGATATGATAGTATTCGTATCTGTAGGTACCTAATTAATAAAATTTCTTAAATTATAAAATTGATGTATTTTAAGTTATTGATTATCTTATATTTTTTATTATTTTTAATATCAACAAAATTAATGTTAAATACAAGTTTAAAAGTTATTAATTTTTTATTTTTAATATTTCAATGACATCAAATACAAACTTAAAATTATTTGTAATATGATTTTTTATTTTTTAATTTCTTAAAAAAATCATAATTATCCATGAATATTCATGCGTCTCCACATATATTTAAAAAGTTCATAAATATTCGCTTAACAGGTATCCGCATGAATATGGGATAAGTATGGACGAATTTTTATCTTACCTGATAGAGACAAGTATACTACTATCCGCCTCCACTGGATCCCATTATCATCCCTATAAAGGAGCATTGAATAGGGGCAACATAAGTACCCATGAAAAACTTATCCCTACAAAATATTACAAATGTCATTAAATCATAGGAAAGAAAATATGCATGGTGATTGGTTGTTGGTTAAAAAATGAAAATATTCAACTAAATGCACTAACCACGGTAAATGTGGTATAAAGTATGGAATGATATAAAAAGAAAGATTCACAAAAGACAAATATATGATTGAATAAATTAAATGTACTAAATGATCATAATATTGGAGAGAATGGTGTAAGATTTTCAAGTGACATTTGCAACTAAGGATGGATTTGTGCAAAGAAGCTTGGATGGTAAGCAATAATATCAACATATATAGATATTTCAATTACATCATGAACAAATAAACAATTGCACAATAATCAATGTATATGAATGAAACCTACGCATGTGTCTAATTATGTGTTTGATCATACATTAAAGACGTGATTTTCTACATCTAAATCTAAATTAAAATTACATATAGTAATTTTTCTATCTCAAACGTGAATTTCATGTTAGACATGACTAATTGATTTATATCCAAAAACATTCTAAATCTACTCTTACAAGACAACTTTTAATGATAGAGAAAAGTATTTCCTTTTATGTATTTGGTGGAAGCCTTTTAAGTGTTTGTTTTTTAACATGAGGATGTCAATTTGAGTCGGATAATTCAAAAGACTGGTCTAGTACAAAATTCAACTTAAACGAGAGTTAATTAATCTAAAAGATTGAATGTAGACAAATAAAATCTTAAATGGTCACATTTGTCAAAGCACACTATTTGTTGATTCTAAGAATTGATTTGGTACAAATTAAATATAATTTAAATGTGATTTAATTAGTTCAAAAGATGGATCGTGATTGAATAAAATTTAAAATTGCATTTTTAATGAGCACTATTTATAAATTGTATTGTTAATGAAAGTTGCTAATGGATTAACTTGCTTTTGATATCATGTTATGAGAATTAAGAACAATAATGAATACCTTCAATTGCATAAGTAAACTCAATTACAAGAAATTAAATAATACATCAATTTTATATATTAAATACAAACTTTCATTTTGTATGAGAACGCTTTTAAGAGTTATTCTTTGATAAAAAGTTTTTAGAAATTTTTAAAGTTCTTATCTAATTCAGCTTTTATTTATCATAATTATTTATAAATTAAATTTTAATATTTTTAAAATAAAATTAATAAATAAAAATAATGTTATGCTACAATATAAATTATTTATCATAAATTTAAATTATAATTTATATGTTACTGTAAAAAATTACATACAATTCATATGTTTAAAAATATTTATTTTTACAAATTTAAATATAATTTATATATTTAAATGCAATATTTAATTATAAATATAATTTTTTATAAATTTTATTTTTATATAATAAATATTTAACATGTTTATTATCTGAGCTAAAATAGAGAAGACTAAACTATTTTTTTAGTGAGAGTGAATTATAAAATACATATGAAAAACAGAAAACTTACATTATATAACAATATTAAAATAATATTATGATTTTAAAATGAAATTATCTAATACTATTTTTAACTTGCAAATTAGAATTTTTTTCATCCATAGAATAAAGTAATTTGAAAAGTAAATATAACCTATAAATTAAATGTTATAAATATAATAATTAATAATCAATAAAATTCGTTGAGTTCACATATGCACTCATGTATATAAATAAAAATATACACTCTCGTATATAATTAATTACTTAAATGGCTTATGGATGGTAATCAAATAATTAAAATTAAATAATTTATTCATTTATTACGTTCATGCCAAATTAAACCAATCTATATGATTTTATTTTACAATTAAATTAATTTTTATATATTTCTCAATAATATCATACTAATAATTGTTATTAATTTTTAATGGTTAAACAATCTTAATTAAATATTAAATATTATTAATTTAATTAAATTGTAACACTAAAACTTCAGTACTCTTTTTTTTTTTCTTCAAAGAATTACACGTAAATTCATTGTTGGTTTTCAATTGAATTAATATTTTCCTCTAATTGAAGCCTATATTTTGTTTGGTTTAAGAAAGAAATAAAAAAAAACAAATAAAAGAGAGAAAAAGATTAGAAAATGAGATGATTTTTAAGTTGGTTAGTAGGGGAAAAACATAAAAGAAAAGAAAAACAATTTTTGTCTATATTTTATTTGTTATGTTTTAAATAAATATCCTCTTTTCTTCTAATATTAATGAAGTATTTAGAATAATAGAATATTAATTCACGTATTTCATGATCCTCTTTAATACTTACGTCTTTAGCAAATATGAGCTATAGTACAACAATCGTTTTAATGCTTTATCTTTGTTTTTGTGAAAAACATTAATGGTTACGAAGAGGCTCAAAGTAGGATATATTTTTTCATGATTTGTTTGAAACAAAAGTAGTTACCAACAATTATATTATTTTACTGTCAAAAAAAATTCTCTTATTAATATTTCGTCTCTAATTAAAAATAGAATAACATAATTTCGTAATTTTTGATTGTTTTAGAAGTATTAATTGGTACGTGATGAAGAAAAAGAGGTGAAAGTAGTGGGAAACGGTTTTGAAACATTAGTAGAAAATGGCTAAAATGAAGGAACCTCACTCCCCTTGCTTTTATGCACTATTAGGGAATGAAAGAGCACAAATTAACGGTTCCATTCTCCAAAATACAATGCCTACATCCTTCATTCTCTTCTGCATTCTGGTCTCCATCTCCCTCACAGGTTCTCATCTTCTTCCCTGATCTTCACAGTCACATGCATATTCCATCAAAGCTTCACAACTCATTATTACTTCATTACTACCATGAATTGAACTTCCTCGTTACATTATGTTACATTTTTGCTTCAATTCCTGCTCTCTATTTATTTTCTATTCTGTCTTACTCTAGTTAGTTGACATTCTTGAGAACTCTATAAGAGATCATGTAATATAAAACTATTTGTGTATATTTACTTAAACTTCCGTCATATACTGATCAGGTGCTTTACTTATGACTCACATTTGCATGTGTTTGGGTTTATGTTTGAATGTTTTTACCTTAATTAAAAGTATATTTGTTATAAAATTTTTAACTTTAACACAAAATTTACTGCTTATTGCATCTAATCAAATCGAAACATAGCCATACTTATACTAAAATCCCATTTGACATGAGTCAAATAGTGTGTTTACTTTTACATCTTGGATGTAGTTTTGCATGTTTACTAAGAAAAGCTAATAGTTGTTATAGCTTTCACATTCTAGATCTAATTTCTTAATCAGGTTGCAAACACTCAGTTAATTTGATTAATTACTAAAGCAAAACGTTTTGAAAAATAAAAATAAGTGTTATCAAGTATATGTTTTCCGGTATTAATTAACGTCCTTGATGCTGTTATATATGTTACACAGATGGGACACAACTCATAATTGTAAACAACTGCAAAGAAAGTGTATGGCCTGGAATTCTTGGCAATGGAGCACACCCTTCACCTAAAGATGGTGGGTTTCACCTCGGAAGCGGTGAAGAGATTGTTGTCCAAGTCCCCAAGGTTTGGTCAGGGAGAATCTGGGGCAGACAAGGTTGTTCCTTTGACCAACAAACAGGCAAAGGTTTTTGTCAAACAGGTGACTGTGGAGGCCTTTTACAATGCAATGGCCTTGGTGGAGTCCCTCCTGCAACCCTAGTGGAAATGACCCTTGGAACCTCTCAATCAAAGTTGCACTTCTATGATGTTAGTTTGGTTGATGGCTTTAACCTTCCAGTGTCCATGAAACCCTTATGTGTTGGTGTTGATCCTGGTGCTGATACCGGTGCCAATTGTGGTGTTGCGGGGTGTGAGGCTAACTTGAATGTTTATTGCCCTTCTGCATTGGTTGTGAAGAGTAATGGGAAGGTTGTGGGGTGCAAGAGTGCATGTTTGGCTGCAAAAACTGATAGGTATTGCTGCACTGGAGAGTTTGCTAAAACATGCAAGCCAACTGTGTTTGCTCGTCTTTTCAAGACCGTTTGCCCTCGAGCTTATAGCTATGCTAATGATGATTCCACAGTGCTCAAGACTTGTGTGGCACCTCGCTATGTCATTACGTTTTGTCCTCTACACTGATCAATGTGTCATGTTTTCAGTCTTTAGTTGTTCTTCAGTCTGAACTGTGATTCTCTTTGTTTAGAAATCTATTGTCTTATTAGTGCTCTATATTAAACGAAGACATCATTCGTAGATACTTAAATTTTTTAGACATGCATGTTAACAAGGGTTTAATTCCTAACTTTCATGCATAGAAAATGAGTGTTGATTGGGATGTCCTTATAGTATATAGGAAAAAATATTAGTGATCTATCCTCTAGGTTTTGATTAATTAATTATGACCAATTATTTCAATTATGAGATTGTTAATTGAGTCTCTTATAGTTGTATTTGGTGTGAATTTTGTTGTATGTGTATGAATAACGAGCTTATTTAGATAAAGTTTAAAAAGATTTTTGAGATTTTTTTTAAAGAGTATTTTTGAATAAAAAATTCTTAAATTTTTTTTTCTTCTAAATTTGTATTTAAATATACTTTATTTTGGGTTGAATTTCATAAAGCTTATAAGTTGTCTCAGGGAGGAAAAAGGAAGGCAAATAGCAGTTGGCACTTGCACACCATTTTTGTAGCCATTATTACACTAGCCTAACCTATGAAATATAGGACTAGTTTAAGTCTAAAAAGTATTCAACATACGTTATCACTTTATTAAAATATCAGTATGATAAATGCCAAAAATAAATATGACGTGAAATATGAAAAAAGAAATCGAGCAATGATTTTTAGAAACTCATTTTTTTTCTTCTAAATATCTAATTAATGTTTTTATAACTTTTATTAATTTCTTTATAATGTATTATACTATCACTTACCCTATATATTTTTTTTTCTTTTTTTTTTCTCATCAGGTGTTAATTAAATAAATTTGAGTGTCCGAAAATTATTTTTAAGAAATCAACAACACTCAGAATACTCTATTTGCCTGATAGAATTATGGCCATCGAATTTGCAGAAGTAGACAAGTGGTAGAGGCCACTTTGCAAAAGCCCATTTTGGCACTAATGAGTACTCTTGAATTGGTGACGAAATGATTAAAATCCACGACCTATTTCAGTCAGCTGATCTTGTTGAAAACTTGATATAAATTATGGTAATGAATTTTAAAAAAATATATATTAACGAAAAAATACATGGAAATTGATTTTTTTTTTCTTTTATATAATTATGATCCCTATTCCATGATTTCGCATCTTGTCAGTGGAAAAGAAAGAAAATGAAAGGACATGCAATGCATCGTTTTCACATTCGATTTGAGTACACCTACATAGCTAGAAGTAAATTTTTTGTTAAAAGTTTTGTTTTAATATTCAATGATGAATGAAATGAAATCAGAAAATAGAGTAAAATAAAGTTACATGTTTATAATGAAGTAAAAAGCTGTTTACTACAAAAGCATATATGTGAAAAAAATTATGCGATGGATTTACAATTTCAAACTCAACTTTATATTCGCCGATTTTTTTTTTCTTGGGTTCAGAAAACCAACAAAAAAACCCACGTCACTTTTTTAAAATTTAATTTACTTATATATTTTTAAACAAATCATATATTTAGTTATTAATTATATTTTTATTTAAGTAATATGTAAAAAGAAAAAAATATATGATTATAACTTTATATTTAAATATATGATTGTAACTTTACTATTTTAATTATTATTATTATTATTATTATTATTATTATTATTATCTAAATCATTTAACTATTAAGTAATTAACTTATATTTAATCATTATAAAAAAGTATAGGTTTTTAGGGTTGAGGTGGAACAGTAACCTTAATCCGACTCTGTCCTTACTCTCAACTTGGAAAAACTGAACCCTAACCTAGTTAAATTAAGTTTTTCTTTTCATAAATAATGGAAGCATGAGAATATGATATGAAATGATTTTCTTATTTAAGCTAAAAATAATAATTTTATATTAAAATTTAAAAAAAAAAACTTTACACTAATATATATCCAAAATTGCAATACAAAAATTTTACGAATGACATATGTTCTAACAATTTTATGCTATGATATTTGATAGAAGGCAAATAAATATTAAAAAAAATGCTGATTTGTACCAAAACAATTTCATCATATTAATGAGAACGAGTACTCTGTTAATAACATATCTAGACATTTTTAGTTTTAATTGATATTTGTTAAAAAAATATATAAAAAAGACATCCATTTCCATGCATAGGTTTGTATGTTTGTTTTTTCCTAATGAATAGCAGTGCTATAAATATACTTAATAACCAATCAGATTTACTCAAATCTTTTAGGGTTATCATCATTGGCATGTCATCAAACATTAATTCTCATATTTATCTTTTCCACGAAACTCAATGAGCTTGAGATATTAACAGAATTCATATCTGTGACTCATTTAATCTATTTATATATGTTAGCCGCGACTGACCCTATACTCAAGCCAAAACCAACGTAAATCTTTACACATGGATAAAGGATAAGTACAACAATTGTTTCAATTCTCTTCTTATACTCTTTCAATCAATTGAATGAAAAGCTCTCCAATGGCTTCAAACTCGATGAACAACAACAAAGAACATTTTCCCACTTGGACAAGATTGCAGAACAAACAATTTGAAAGGGCATTGGCCTTGTATGATGAAGACACCCCAGATCGGTGGCAAAATATTGCCAAAGAAGTTGGCAATAAATCGGTGGAGGAAGTGAAGAGACATTATGCAATTCTTTTGGAAGATCTTAGTAGTATAGAGTCGGGGCATGTTCCAATTCCCGATTATGATTTCTCAGAAAACATGGATGATGATGATCATGTAGAGAGGTAATTTACTATTTATTGCTTTTAAGATGTAACATAAATAGATTTCATTCTGCCTATGCATGCCTTTGTTTTTGGTTCTTGCATCGGGTTAATTTGGGTGAAAAAATCACACATTTTTTTTAAGTTAAACTTAATTGTAATTTTTTTTTTATTATCGAAGTTACACAATCTTGTCAATTTTAATCTACAATATATTTTTTCAGAAATTGTGCATTCATATTTTTAATTTTTTATGAATTTTGTTATTATGTTCCATTGGTTGTCTATTGGTATGACTATATTGACTACCAATACAATGATGTGTAATTAGGAATAAAATGATATTTTACGGTTGATAATGAAATGGTTTTACATGTAAAAGGGTAGCATTTGCAAGTTAGAATAGTACAAAATTTAAAGAAAGTAAATTTTAATTTTTTTTTATAATTTTTACTATTTATTATTTTCTTGCATTTTTTACCATATTTTTAAAATATTGCACATTTTATCTACACACTTTCAAAATATTGCATATTTTGTCCCTATACATTAGAAAATTAAAATACACATTTTACCCTCATATTAAACAACATCAAGGTCATCACTATGCATTGATTCATGTCAAAACAACATGTATATTAGCATCTCATTCTATATTAGCAATCAACTAATGGAATGGACAATCAATTTATGGAAAGAAAAAATTCGCAAAAGATTGAAAATATGGGTGCAAAATTTTATAAAAAAATAAAAAACAAGTCTTAAATGTACAAGATTATACAACTTTGGAAGAAAAAGTACAATTAAACTTTTAAGTTAAATAAAATAGTAAATGTTTTAAGCGTTAATAATTAAATAAAAAATACCCAAACAAAAATTTATAGACTTGAAAGATATTTTAAGATTTTGTGGTTATATCATATTTTTTGAAATGAATATCTTTAATGTATATCTAGCATTAAAAATAGATTAAAATATTAGTGACTTTATGGTAATATTGGAACAAACTACAAAGATGCAAAATGTCAAATTCTATAACATGGGAAGATGTATTGTTGAGTACTTGAGTGAGACTCAAACCATATAAAGCATATCTAATTGTAGAACTCATTTTGGGTTTCTAATTCCCTTTTTGTAGACCCCTAAATATCATGTAATATTTAAGAACTTAATTTATTTTATTTTTCAATGGAAGATCCTAACTTGAGTTCTTAATTTACTTTATGAGTTCTACAATGAACTCCACATATTTAGAGCTTTCTCCTTTTTACCGTAAGATCTTGGTTTTTGTAGATTCTTAAAAAAGAATCCATTCTAAATGTGAGAATCACATCACTACGCTCTTAAAAAAGAATGTAAGGTCCAAATCTTTCTAAGAACCCTTCAAATAACCTTCTATTGGAGATGACTAACATAAAGTGTAATTTATCCAAATTAATCACTAACATAACAATTAGTTATTGACATTTACCTATAAAAAAATTCTAATGCATCTTTTCTTTCTTTTAATTATGCAGGCATCCCAAGTATCTTAGTTTGAATTGAATGGTCCTGAGCAATTCAAATATCTATCAGTAGGACATACATGAAGACAAAGATGTGAGATATGTGTAATTAATAATTATTAAGAATAGCTTAATAATTTAGGATTAGGACAGATATAAGAGAAATTGGGTTTGTTCTTCACTGTCATTATTGTAATATCTTCTACTTATAAGAAAAAAAAGAAATGTTAGATATATGAAAAGACGGTGCAAGAATAAGCAATTTTTAATAAGTCAACCAATCTTTTTAATAAACATTTTCATTTTTTCAATGTATAAAGCCAACTTTATTTTTACTATCTTTCATTTTTTGTGAGTTCCGCGGCAATAAAGCCAACATGGGAACCTTAGTTTGCAATTCAACATTGCATGCTTCATTTTATCATAAACAAGTCAACAAAATCATATTAAAACCTTCTTCTCAAGACAAAATAAATACTTTCTCTCAACATTTTATTTTATTATTTTTTCACTATAATAAATTTACTTTATTGATCACATTCAATATAAAAAACTGGAATTACTTAGCCCCTAATAACTAATATTATCGTCGTTATAAAGGAACACAGTTTGACCCACGAAACGTCAGCAAGTAAGCATTTTGAATTTTAATTTATTTTAACCCTTGATGGCCTAGGTTTGATGAATAACTCTTGCACCTCAATATGAACTAGGAAGAAGGAAGTCCTAATAGAGGTGTTTGGCATTTGATCTTGTCTTTGACTCTTGAAGAAAGCTTTTCCATACATTTGGAGAAATCGATTAATTGAACGGGGTCGTCTTACAATTAACTCGTTGCATGATCAACCTTAAAAATGTTCCAGTTGTTTGTTCGAAGATAGTCTAGATGGGTACTAATAGCAGTCCCCCTAAATAATAATGACACCTTGAAACAAAGTAGTCGTGCGTATGCAAGAAGAACATAAATGATTGCCACCAATCCCTTATGTACATAAATTATAGGCTATTTGGCTAGAATGCCAATGACAAATACAAATGGTCTTTTTTTTATAATTAAATTAGTCGTATGTGAGTTCCGTGAACCATTTTTTGTTACACTTAACTATACTTGGTTCGTAAAGTATAGGATATTAAACATTAGAAATTGACTCGCACATTTTTATTCTAATTGGGTTATGAAAAAAGTACCATATGAAATATTTTTTTTTTATGTAAACACTACTAGGTCACGGAGCCGTATAAATTTTTTTTCATATTCGATTCAATTTATCTATCTACTACACTAAGTTAGTAGTAAATAATACAAATTTACATTCCGGTAAGAATTAAGATACTCGTCGAGAATAGATAATAGATAATATAAGAGGAATTTTGGAAAAAGGTTGGCAAAACCAGGAGTGGCACACGATGAAATCCAAAGGAGCCAATTATGTCTTCAAATCCACATCTCCTGGATCTTTGGGGTGCTTTGAATTTGTGTTATCTCGAGAGTGGAGGCATATCTTGGACTGTTATCCGACCAACTTCATGAAAGCTTCATATTGATTATACTATTGCATAATCAAAATAAATTGACACGAATAATCAACCAAGTCTGAAAACAAACTCTTGCCAAGAGTAAGCAGATTCCTATGTCAACACAAAGATGCCACCAAAATGGAGCTCGAGCTGCTGGTTCAGTAAATCCGAAAGATAAAGTTATTCATGAGTCTTGTGTATGAAAATGAACACGTCAGTAAAATCATTGAAAGTTAGGATTGATGCAATGAAGGAAATTTGTGCTAACTGCTGAGGACTAAGTTAATAAAAAGAAAAATACAACAATTTCATTATATTCAGATTCCGGAAAACATTTAGAAATTTCACCTCTTTTCTCAAAACTCATGATCAGAATGATTTCATTTCAACTCCATAATCAAACTACTTCTTTAGAAAGTACATTCCATCCCGAAGTTCTAACTTCTCCTCAGAGACTAGACCAGATAAAAAGCTTTGTAGTTGTTGGAGTGACTTGTCATATGGGGGATCGGCAATGCAAAACATCTGCGATAACATAATCATGTAATTAATCTAACTGATCATGCTATCTGTGTCCAAACATTTATATAGGTGTAACACTTTCTTTTCAAGGGGTACAACTGTAAAAACCATTCTTACCTTGAGAGTATTGTGAATTCGATCTAATGCCATGCTGCCAAAGTTTGTGAGCATCCCCAGGATAAATTTCTGACATGAAACTACAGAAGTTAGATATCTTTAATGATGTGCATTGCAGTGTTTAAATACCTCAAGATGCATAAATTAAAGAAATTTGTGCAGGCCAAAACCATCATCATTGGCAAAAACTAGGAACAACAGGCTGATATGATAATGAAAAAGAACTGTTTATTTATCCAGGGAACATCCATTCTCCATAATGTTCCTTCATTATATAACTCTCCTGCCCAATGGAAGCCCTTTTGTTGTAAATGGTCCATTAAAAATTGTTACAACATAAAAAGATTAAAATTAAAATCTATAATATAACAAATTGAGGAAGCACAAACAGCAACTTTTGAGGCGTGTCACTACAGTAACAAACCAACCAAAAAATCAACTTTTGCAGAACCATTTATAGCATATTAGATTAAAAAATTATGTGTTTTTGGTCACCAAAAAACCAAAGGAACTTCTTCTAATCGTCACTATGAGTCCACAACATTGGTCTTTGTGCTTCCGCAACCCTATGTATCAGGGTTTTCCAACATGGCCTTGGAATGTTAACAGGAAAAAAAAGTGGTGTTTTCATTTTGTCTTTTCTTTCTCGCTGCATACATTTCCATGCAAAATGGGGATGTGGGGTTTCAAATTAGCAGGTTACCAGAGCCATTTTGTAAACCAAAACTACGGGAAAGCAAAGGAGATCGTCCCATATGTATGTTTCCCATTTTGGAGCACTATAATGGAAACCTTTGGGATGAAGAATTTCTCTACACAATGAGCACCAGCAAATCCCTTAGCATTAGATGGTGATGCCCTAAACAGGTAGGCAATCGGAGAGGTTTCAAATTTGAATTTGTTCAAATTTGGACGGGAAATCACCTATATATAGGGTTTCATGTGAAACTAGGGTGTGTGGTAAATCTGCCTGGATGTTTTGAGTTGTGAAAACATTTCTAATGAAAGTTCATTTCCACTCAAGTCTCTCTCTCTCCAATTTTTTAAAATTATTTTAGTGAAATATATCTTCATTCCAGTGAAACTTTCTACAATTTTGGAGAAATAAAAAATCTATTTTTATTTCTTCTATGTATTCTTATATCATGTTAAAAATTCATGAGTACACTGACTTTGGAATACCTCACAAATACTTTGGGATCGACCACAACTTCAGAATGGATAGCCTTCTAATTATATATTTTAGCATTTTAATTTTTTAACAACCTCAGGATGGACAACTTTCTAATTATATATAAAAATTTACGTACATGTGAATTTTTTTTGATACAAGCAAGTTTGGTTTAAAAATTTTAATCACTAAATAAAATATCCAAGAATTACACTACTAAAAATATTGTATATCAAGAATTCTTCATAAAGATATGATATATTAGGAATTATTATGCTTACAAATATGTTTACTTTTAATTTATGTATTGATTAGATTAATAATTAAATTAAACTATTATTTCTTATAATTATTTAATTTTCTACAAGATTAATAATCAATAATCAAAAAAACATATACTTCACTATAACAAACTTAAGACAATAATTCTATAAATTAATAACATTACACTTACTAATACTTAATATTTATTGATAAAATCTTTTTAAGTCTCGTGCAACTAAATATAGTAATATACAATTCAAGGATTCTCAAGTCTTGGCAGTTAATTTTTTTGTTAACAATTAACCAATTAAAAACATGAAAGCAAGTCACAAATATCATCTAACCATTACTTTACTTTATCTGACATACCTCATATACAGTCATTTCCTTACGTAGTTGATTTTCCACGGAGGCCACAGATCTGTCTTCCTCCTCATCGCCTCCTAGAAGTTCCTGAGTACAACCAGTATTCCCTCCGTTCTTACTTGTCTCAACCATGTTTTCCACAATGGTGTATACATGATCAGAGGAATCTTCCCCTTGTGACTCTGCAATGATTCCCTGTGTACAAAAAAAAAAGACAGCGAGAGTAGTTAGTTTCAACTTCACTTTTAAAGTTAAGACTTCTACAGTTTTAAACAAGAAAATTCATAGCCGTGAAACATGTACTCAATTGAACAGCAAGTCATGTCATTGAAAGATTAGAATCATCATACATAAATGAACAACAATAAAATAAATGAAAACTTTTGTTATGAAAAAAACATCATAAGTTAGCTAACTCAAAAATGATAATAATACTTGTCAACAGAAACTAAATATAATCATGCTGCAAAATAGTAATACCAAAAATAACACCAACAAAAACTTGCAGAACTGACCTATCAGACCTACCTTGCTTATCCAGAAATTTATTCTCCGATTTAAAACATCTGCAGGTATCCCAATAGCAGCTGCAAGGTTTTTAGAGGTCCAACTGAAAGAAGAAATATAATATCATTATACAATCAAACAACAGACTAAAGGTATGTATAGATTGCAGACGATACCTTGGTTGATCTTGAAATTTCATAATGATAGATGCATGAACAGGAGCTACTGTGAATTGCATTTCCCTATCTTGAAACTGCAACTCCAGCTAAACCATTAAAAATGATAATATTAGAAGAAAATAGAGGTAAAACAGTAACAGGTGGGAAAGGGGCAACATATTCATCAAGTTCAAAAATTGTGTCAAAAATCTGCAGAGAACAAATATTGAGCAACTAACCTTGATGGTTCCAAGACTTTTTTTCCACTGCAGCTTACGGGGAGTTTTTATTTCGTTAAATCTCTTTGCATAATCAGACAGGAGCTGGTCAATAGGTTCAGGCAGGTTAAGGGGCTCATCCTGTAATTTTCTCCAAAGTTAATATAGTACAGAGACAATTTTGCAGGACAACAATGAAATCATTAAAAATCTATTCTGGTCAGACAATTTGTTATATTAAATAAGACTATATTATGTTATCATATTATACTTGTTTTAGAGTCTGTTTAGATGCAAATTGAGAAGCGTTTTTAAGAGTTTTTCTACTAGAAAATACTCTTCATTTCCAGTAGATAAGCTCTCGAAAGCACTCCCTTGTGTCCAAACATGCTCTTATGCTTCAAGTTGAAAATGACTCAAAATAA